AATTATTTTAATATATATGAGTGCTTGTGTATAAATACACAAACAATACACATATGCTTTCAATTGTGTAATTTAAGTGATCTAGGTAGCTCTGTTAAGGAAGTTCAGTTAACGCTAGAAATGTGCTTTGGACTTTGTGCATGCTTTTTCTCTAGGGGCCACCGCATATATTTATATATAAACAAAACCACTTTTTTTTACATTAGTAATTCCTTTTGTGCTTAATTTTCTATTATTGTTAATAATAAATTAATTAAAGCAACAAAACAACCTGAAGAGCCGGTTTGGAGCTGAAAGAGCCGGTTCTCTAAAAAGAGCCGGAAATCCCATCACTACTTTGTAGGCCACCAAAAATAACTTGCCTTGTTAAATTCAGTCCTCCGAATTCTCTTGGTAGTCTTAGTTTTTTCTAATGTTATCAACTACTTTAAAAGACAGGTATTCAAAAAAGCGCAGCAGTGTGTGCTGCACGTAGTGTAGAATGTTGCTCGATTGCACTGCATGTCACAAGCTAAACAGTCAAATGACATAAGGACGAAACCACACAGTCAAATGAGAGGAAGTGCAACAAGATGACACTTGTAAAGTTGCACTCACACAGACTAATCTTTTATTAGGTGAGAAAAGACCTGCACAATAGTTTGCTATTATTTTGCACACAAATGAAGCACAGGTCAAAGCAGAAAAGACAACAAAATGTTTTCTCATGCGTTTGCCTCACACAGTCAGACGGCATCTGAACGTAACTTTATCACAAGAGGAATTTCATAGGAAACCCAGCATTCAAACCTCCACCCAGGGGCATTTACATAACAATTTCAAATTGATCTGTGTTGCGTTATGGAAAGTAACCTGACATGGTGCACAGACAATCCAGCTCCACCAGCTGTTGGGTAAGCATTACCTGTCAGTGTCTGCCCATTACATTGTGTTTTTCCTGTTGGGTTAAATTAGCTTCTGACTGCTTGAGGACTCTAAACTGTCTCACATGCGACCCCTATCGGCATACAGTTGCAATAATAAACGATTACAGAATTATGTCATGAAGGCTGCATGATATAAATGATGCAACAGCTGTTGGCATGGCATTGGAGGCCACCGTGACACACATACACTCACTAAAAAAAATGTTTAATGTAGAATTGAACCATACAGCACTGTCTGACTTAGACACAACAGGTTTCTCAGTGATTAAAAAAAGCAAAATCTGATTAATATTTTATGCTAAATTCTGTCTGTTGACCAGTATGTGACTGGAGTGTGTGAGGTCGTTTGATGTTGCTCTCTGGTGTGGGTTTGGAAATGGAAATTTCAGGGAGAGCAGAGAGTGGGCTGCGCTTATGCTGAGGCGTGGTTCATCTTTGCAGACATAAACGATCTTTCCCTTTCTCTTCCAACAGTCTGCGGTTGACCTCTCCAGATTGAAAGGCACCTTTCAAGGGTTTCAGCTGATGCGTCATCTAACAAAGTCCTCAGCCCCCATAATAAGTATTTAAGTTGAGAGCATTAACGGTTTTATATTAAATCGTTTAAATATTACATATATATTTATTCATTAAACTTAATAAAGTTTTTGCTTTGTAAGTGTATGCATTGTACCCACCTCCAGAAGGTGATGATTTTTGCATAAGGAAACTAAAGTTTGGACAATAAAGTTACCCAAAGGCCCAGATTTACTTAACGTACTGTGTGTGTGTGTGTGTGTGTGTGTGTGTGTGTGTGTAAAAACAGGAACCCCTCCCGGTGAGCAGGAAGAAGGTGACGTCAGTTGTCACTTGGCTCAGCGCTGAGGGTAGTCAGGATTACAATATTTCTGTGTGTGTGTGTGTCTGACACACAGAGAGAGAGTATTCTAAAAGAGGAGGTGTGTTTATGGGAAGTAGAAATTTTGTGTGAACGTGTGCACGCGCCTGTGTGTATGTGTTTACACAGACTGGAATACTGCGCCAGAGGAAGTGCGCCCGTTCTCCGTCTGCGCGTCCCGACTTCCTGCTCTGAGCAGGAGAGAGAAAAGCTGCGGATCCGCTTTCAGACAGCGGGGCAGCAACAGCAGCAGCATGGAGCCCCAACACACCTCGCACACACCGCTTTAAAGACACAAACCCACACATCGCACACGGACAGAGGAGCAGCCACAGCTAGGTAGGTGCCATATTTCCTGCTATGGGCAACTTTCTGAAGTTATGTGTCTGAGCACATTTGGGCGTAATAGAAAGACAGAAACGAGCTCGCGTTAGCTGTTGGTGTATCTGCTGAAGTCCTGTAACGGTCAGACAGTCACTGTCAACTTGAAATCCGACTAAAGTCGCGCGTAAAGTTGTGCGTAACGAGGTAAAGCTGTGCGTAAAAATGTGTTAAAGCTGCGGTTTTAGCACTCTGCTTTGGAATCAAAACTGACCCCGCTGATGGGAGCTACATTTGGGGGTAAAGAAAGGGATTTAAAGAGGTTAGAATGGTGGCTGCTGTGGAAAAAAAAATCAGCCGTGGCTCCTTTAAAAATCTAGTAGTAGAATTTCTGGTTTGTCTGGACCTCGCAGACTAATTGCCATGCGCTTCCGGATAGAAGCTGGCAGCAGACAACATCTTGAAAATGAGTCACTGGTGCAAAAACAAAGAACCGTTTGAGTTCCAGCAGAAACCCCTGCTCTCTTTCCACAGACATACACTCTCACACACAGACATACTTCCAAAAATAAGAAATACACAGCCTAAAGAAAATGGATAGACTCATATGTGGCTTTTGGTTTGTTTCTGCTGGACTGAAGAGCCCCCAGAAGACACTGGGAGAAAATCCCATGGATAAACATTTGCAGTAGGAGAATTTTTTTTATGTACAGATCTTCCATGACTTGTGAGCTTGCACAAGAAGAGGGAGTTTATGGACAAGCAAATTTTAAGCACTGGAACAGCAGACCAGTGCTCCAGACTGCTTTTATTCTGAAATTCCAAATAAATCAGCAGTTTTTGTGGCTTTGTTCATCTCCTCAACAGACTTGCAGAGTATAGATCAGAAAGTTTGACATCGGGGCATACATGTATACCCCATATAACAGATCTATATAGAAGTATAGACCGTGTGTGTGTGTGTGTGTGTGTGTGTGTGTGTGTGTGTGTGTGT